TACATGTGAGTAAGATTATGTGGCATTTATCTTTCTGAGCCTGACATATTCATAAACACAGTGATCTCTTGTTCCTTCCACATTGTTGTAAATGACGACTTCACTATTTAAGGTCGAGTAGTATTTTGACCATTGTATATGTGTATCACAGTTTCTTTACTCATTCATCTATTGATGAGCAACATTTAGGTAGTTTCCACTTTGGGGCTACTGTGACTAGCAGTGCAACTAACAAGCACGGGCACAACAGGCACAGTTCTGCACACCTGTTATCCAGCACTTTGAGAGGCAGGAGGTTTGCAAGTTCAATTCCCACCTGGGGAACTAAATGAGACCTTGTCTTACAATAAATAAAAGAGGCTGGGGATGTAGCTCAGTGGCAGAATGTCCCTGGGTTTGTTTCGCTGTACCACACACTCACCCACAAAAAATCCTAGTGTAGATGTCTCTCTGACATAGTAATGTTATTCTCTCTTTCTATATATACAGCCAATAGTAGAATTGTTTTAATTTTTTGAGAAAGCTTCATACTGTCTCGCACAATGGTTGGAGTAACTCACATCCCCACTAACAGTGTGCAAGGCTTCCTTTTAACCACCTCTTCGCCAGGGTTTGTTATTTTGTTATTTTCTAATAGCTAATCCTATTGAGTAAGGGTGACATTTCACTGTAGGTTTTATTTGCCATTTTCCTGATTATTAGTGATATATTTCATATAGTTGTTGGTCATTTGTACATCTTATTAGGGAAATGTCTATTTGGGACTATTGCCTATTTGAAAAATCAAATGATGATGATTATGGTGGTTATTTTGCTGTTGGGTTGCTTGAGTTACTTACATATTCTCAATATTTACCACCTGAAAGATGTAAATTTGCAAATATTTTCTCCCATTCCATAGGTTTTTCTTCACTTACTGATTATTTCTTTTGCTGTGCCAAAGGTCTTTAGTTTCATGCAATCCCAGAGGGCTATTTTTGTTCATTTATTGTGACTTAGGGGTCTTATCCAAATGTCTTTGCCTAGTACAATGTTCTGAAATGTTTCCCCATGTTTTCTTTCAGTAGATCCATTTTTTCAGGTCTTATATGCTAGTCTTTAATCATTGTGAATTGCTTTTTTCTATATCATAAGAAACAGGATTCCAGTGTCATTCTTCCACATGTGGATACACAGTTTTTTCAGCACCATTAATTGGAGCACCATCTTTTCCCTAGCATGCATTTCTCAGCACCTTTGTAAAGGTCAGTTGGCTGTAGAAGGTAAAAATATAGATTCTGTTCCATTGGTAAGAATTAATTTTAAATATTTTAGTAAGTGTGTTAGAACATTTAAAAAGTTGGTGAAATTAATCTTAGTAATATATTTTAATTTAAACAAGTGTATATAAAATATCTGGTCAAAATGCAATTAACATAAAATTATTGATATAGTTTATGTCTTCCTTGTCATGCTTTTGGAAGTCCAGCCTGTGTTGCCCTCTTCTCATCTCACTGAGGATTGGTCACATCCCCACTGTCCCAGCCCACATTTGGCTCACAGTGACTGTCTCACCTGCCCATCTGAGCTGTAAACTGCAGGCCACTGTGCAGTCACAGAGCTCTCCTTTGTAGTGGGGTGCAGAAGAGCCTCCTATACCTAATGATGCCTTGGACAGCCTGCTTTCTCCCAACCAGGTACATCATGGCTTAGGAAATTTCTTTCTCTTTGACCCCCTTGCATCCCCACAAATTGGCTTCCCCACTGTGGCCAGCACATGAGCCTCTGTGTGGTGACAAACCCAGGTCATTAGTGTCATCTTCTTAGATGGCCACTCTTGCTGTTGGGATCCTTCCATCTCCCCTCTTCTAGTTATTTTGAGATTTGTCCCTATGGTGCTGCAGGACACTGCGTCTTGCTCTCCTATCTAATCCTACTCTGGTACCCCATCCCAACCCTTCTCAGCCTCCAGTGACCCCATTCTACTCTCTACTTCTGAGTTCAACTTCTTTGGTTTCCACGTATGAGTGAAAACAGGTAGATTTGTCTTTCTGTACCTGGCTTATTGCACTTAAAATGATGTCCTCCAAAACATGGAACATCTCAGGTTGGTGTGTCCCACCCAGTGCAGGGACCATGGTGACCTGCTGTGTATTCTTCCAATTTTAGTGAGCATGAAACGTGATATCTTAGACTATATGCTTGGAAGGGGATTCAGCAGAGAAGTAAAGCTGTAATTCTCATGCACAGAATGAGGTAGCATGTAGAGGATTCCTAATGGAGCTTGTGAGCCACTGTGGCTGCAGCTCCTCAGCTGTCATCACCTCTGTACATTCTCCTCTGGTTTCTCAAGCCCTGGGGGCTCTTCCAGGAAGGTGTACAGATGCAAATAAAACAGGTGGAAATCATCTCGTCTCTTTGCTCAGCATTGTTTTTGTTTTTAATTCACATTTTCATGAGTGTGTGTTTGTAGTACATGATGATCACATGCATTGTGGGGTGTTGGTACGTGGACAGGACGCATCTTAATTCCTTTTTTCGTCTCCTTCCCTTCTCCTCCCCACCCCATCTCTTGGTTCCCTTTCCTTCCTGCAGAAGCTCTATTGTGTTACAAATAAGCAAAAGCCATGCTGCTGTCTTTATCCGTTTTTTCCTTCACTCTGGAGACAGTGAGGAATTTGACAAGGACAAGAAAATGCAGCATTTTCCAAAGCCATTGACTTATCTGGACTTTGACTGTGTTGGCCAGTTTCTGGACTGGAGCCTCATTCCTCTCTTGCTTCACTCTGTGTCTTGGGCCTGGTGGAGCAGAGCCAGTGGGAGTCAGTACTATGGCTGTGTCCAAGCGCCACACAGCAGTGCTCCTTTCTCTGAGCTTTGATGTCTGGAGATGCTGCCTTCCTATAAGAAGAAGACTGACCTGATGGGCACAAGCAGTTTAGATCCATGTCAGTGCCTTGAGGTCTGAGAGGACTGGAAGAGTGTCAGGAAAAGCCCGCTGACCCTTTCCAAAAATTCACAGCTCAATTTCAGACACTATTCAAAGTACTGTCCTGTGTTGCCTAATGACAACTGAGAAATGCTGAGGCACTGAGATAGGAAAAGCCAGGCAAGCTTCTGGTTGTGCAAACACCACACTGTGCATTTGTACAAATGTGGATGGTGTGGCCACCACACAACTGGGTGTGTGGTGCAAAATGGTTCCATAAAAGATCTGTCACTTAACAGAAATGTCACTGTGCAGCACATGCCTGGGTTCCTGGCAATAATTGGTGTGTGTGATCTGATTCTTAGGCAGAAGCTCAGTGGGGGCTGCATTAAGGACTAATCCATGGTGTTATGGAGCATGGGCTTGGGAGTCACACAAGGACTGCAAGCCCAGCTGTCTGCTCTGCCTGTGTGACAGCAGGTTGGGGAGCTGACCTCTCTGACTCCACTCCCAGAATTCACATAATTCCCACCTCTGACTACTGTTATGACTTCTGTGTCAGCTTGATGCATTCAGGATGGCAGTCAGCAAAGCTTTCCCACAAAGAGCCAGATTGTAGCCACTTTTTGGCCAGCCATAACATCTCTGCCTCAGCTATACCGTTCAGCCCTGGAAGCAGGAGCACAGCCATTGCCAGGCAAGGGGAGGAGCCAGCTGTGTTCTAGGCAAGTCCTCCCACAGAAGCATCCCCAGCCACAGCTGGCCAGAACAGAAGGAACCCTGCCTGGGAGTCTACCCCCAGGATTTCTGCCCCTCCATTTTCTGGACCTCTGGGTCCCGAGGGTAGATTGGCTTCTGAATTAATGACTTTGGTATTCAAGTGACACCAGAGACCCCTGGCAGGTATTATGTGCTCCTTTTCAAGTTGGTCTTCCTTTCCTTTCCCTATCTTTCTCCAAAACCTCTTCATCAGACTTAGAAACCATTTCAGAGCAGGCTCAGTGTGGCTTGGATCCTTGTATGACCTGGGGCCCACTAGAGTTGCCTAGCACCTTGAGAGAAGATCGGACCACACTCCATGTCTGGCAAAGACCCAAAGTCAAAACACTGATTGTAGCTTCCACAGACTGTGGGTCACTGGTGTCTCTGTAAAGCTGAAAGATATAAGGGAGCTGGTGTCTATGCTATGGCATCTCTGCTCCTCTCTCTCCTCTCTGAGGCCTTGCCAACATAATTCCTCTTTTTCTCCTGAACCCTTTCTGCAGCACTAAGATCTCAGAAGACACAGTCTACATGGCCCTTGGTGACCCCAGGGCTTACTTACCCCAGTACCATCCACATGTCCTCTCAGAGCTCCTCCATGGACCTTCTCCTTCTGACTGGCAGAGCTGACCCTAGGTAATTACCTGCAAAGAGCTCAAAGCTGGCAAGGAAGATGCCCACTGTCAAGGTGGTAGCCACCTTCTCTGACAACAGAGTGGCCTGGGTGGCAGGCTGCCACATGAACCTTTCCCCTTTGGGGCACAGAGGAAACATCAGGGTGCATTTGCACCCCAGTACACCTCCCCCCAGAATGTGTGTGTTTGTTTTCTAGGACTTAAAGCCCAGGCCGGCTGGGAAGAGCCATCAATTAAAAAGGGTAAGGATGAACCAAAACACTAGGTTACTAAGTCAACGTCAGGGCATGTAAGTTTAAAATTGGCTTTCCTCTCAATTCTGCCACTTCTGTTTTTTTGCATATGACAATTAACAAGGGAAGAAGACCCTGGTAGCCACCTCTGGTTCCAGTCCAGCTGTGCTGGTGGTGTTGAGAGTCTGAAGGAAGCAGTCCCTGCTTTCACCACTCAGGCTTCTAAATAGATCTTGGCTCCATGCTCATTATTGATGGCCCATTTGTTTGCTACTTACTCCCCTACATATATAACTTCTACAAATTAAAATAGAAACCTCTAGACAAATGAAAACATGTTTTATTTACAAGAAAAGTCTGTACACTGTATACACATAAAAATATACAAAACCAAAATAGAAAATATCAAATTGTTAAAATGTGTACAAACACTTTTAAAATGCAACTTCTGGAAAACCTCAAGACGCACTTAATTGGAAGGATACACATTTCAGTTTAAAAATTATCATACAAAAAAATTCCCAAAGCTGTTAGAAAAGTTCACTGGTTTCCACTGGAAGGATTTTATAAGTATTTAATCCAAAGCAAAACAGGATGCATGTTATAAATGCTAGATTTATCACACCAATGCATTTAACCGGTTAGGCTATTTTCCATGGAAGCAATAAATGTTTCTTCCCCCAATCTTGTAAAAGCCATGAGTTAGTGAAAAACATCAGGGTTCAGAGTTACAATAAGGCTTCTGATGAAGATCCAATATTAGGTAGCAATTCGAGTTTCATAGTGCTTTTAAAATATTTCTGTTATGCTTTTCGTTTATCATAGTCAGAGGTTATAGAATATGTATACTGAGGGGGTGGACAACCACATTTTAATAGAAGGATGTGTAACATATGTTTCCTTCTCTTAAAAAATTAGTGTTTGCATAATTTAAAAATTTACTGTAAAGGTTACATCATAAAAATTAATGAAAAAACAATATAAAACCAATCATGTGTGTAGATACGTATATATACAATTATATAACTATATCTACATGCACACTTCTATACTAAGAGTAAGAACTATATCAATGTCTTGAATTCTTCAAATTTCATTAACCTAAACTTGTACAGAATAGACTGCATTATTTTTCTCTTACTAAAAGACTTTGATCATTTAATAAAACAAGAATCAGAAATTACATTTTATTTCCTTGAGCTATCAGAAGAATCCCTTTCATTTACCAAGTGTTTACATAATGCCGGGTGGCTGAATCATGCAGAGTAATTTCACAATGGAAATATCAAAAGTATCAAAGCCAAGGAGAAACTCAGGCATGTATTTCCAGTTAGTTTCTAAACAGAGCTGTCTCTATCCACTGTGTGGCACAGGGTAAGAGTCTAAACCAGCCAAAACACACTGGGATGCTGTGTGTCTGCCCACAATCCCCCAGCCCCACACAACCACTTTTGTCTGTTTCCTCATAGCTACGGAGAAGGGGACCAGGTACCCTCAGCCACGCGCACTGTGTCTAGTGATGGAAAACCTGGAGAACTTTGATCACGTCATTGGTGCTCATGACGTTCTTCTGTCAGTGTGGCCCATCTAAAATGGATCCCTCTTAATCCATCCAGACAGCCTGTCTGGCCCTAACCCAGAGGACAGAAGAGTCTCCCACCCCAAAGGGACAACTGGAGAAACACGATGGGGGAATTGAGGTACAGGAAGGTGTCATTATTGGTCTCCACAAAGACAGAGGGGAACGACCTGGAAGTGCAGAGGAATGTGACACTGGCCAGTGCTGAGTGCAGAGCAGCACCAGAGGCCTTCAGGAGGGATGCGAGGGTTTCCTCAGCTTCCCCTCTCCAGAGGACAGTGAGTTCTGGAAGGGGCAGAAGGGGGAAAAAGAAATCAGGTCACTCACTACTAACCACTCCTTGGAAGGTCCTGTGTCTACTGGAGCTCAGCACTGTACTCACAGGAAGTAAGCAATGTCTGATGAAACTCCGCCCCTCAGAACCAAGGAGTGCCAGGAGGAGCCTTTGCACTGATGCAGAGCAGAACACAATTGTGAGGTTGAATGATTTAAACTTTTAAACTGAAGACTGTGCAGCCAGCACTGTGTAAACACATGCGCCCACAGGGTTCAACTCCTCAGGGTTCAACAGACTCTTGATTCCCAAGACTCTTTAAGGCCATAATAAATTCACAAATTTTAATTGACTTTGCATTATGTTCATCAGTAATTCCATGTAATTTCGTGTAATTCCATGAAAATGAAAGTCCTCTTTTGTAAGTACTGGTGCTACAACAGCATGCTATTTAAAAACCTCTGAAGTGTTTTCTAGAGGCTTTGAACTTGAATATCTACATTGACCCCAATCTTTTGTTTGCTAACTGAATTCTGATGCCGCCAAAAGAAGGCTGTCCTGGATAATAAGGATGCCCATGAGTGAATCCACTTGGAAGACTATAAAAGGGGTTTTAGTAGTTGTGGGCATTTAAAATGGCAAGTCTTGGAAGATCTAGAAAGATGCCTGCACTCCAGGGGAGCAATCCTGTCAGCATCTCTGGTCGACTCCTTCCAGAGCAGGGAAGTTTCTACTCCCTTAAGTGTGTGGATATGACCCAGCTATTTCAGAAAATTAGGGAGAAGCAGGGCTGGATGGTGTCTACTCAGACATAATTTAACACATAAGACAAAACCATCCACCCCTTCTCATAGACTTGGTAAGGAAGCTCCTTGGATGGATTTTTATTAGATAATATCTCATAAATGAAAAATTTTCAAAATTGCTCCCACTTCTCTATGGGAATAAGGGGACAGAGTAGAACAGCCAGGGAGAAGCTGCCAATCTCAGTAAACCATTTTTGCTCACAGAAGCCATCCTGAAAGCACTGGAACAAACCAATCCAGAAAGATAAAAGCCTTAGCCACCAAACTCTCCCGATGGCTACACACCTTGCAAGGGAGACTGTCTTTAATTAAGCTGCTATTACTGCCCTGAAGTCTAAATTGTGCCATTGAGATATGTTTTGGTTTGATATTGGAATAATGGTATATTTAGTTAAGGTATTCTGAAATGTTTCTGTTGCACCACCAAAAATCACTGATTTATCAGGGACAGAATTTGAGGTTAAAAACCTCAGTATCACTATCAGGCTGGTATGAGTTTATTACCTGCCCGCCTCTCCATCTGAACAGGTATGATTTTCCTTGTTAAAGAGCAATGTTTTCACTCATTTTTATTTAATTTTATGGCTTTGTCATGCTGCTGACAGAAAACACAACTGTGAAAACCAGGATTGGGTTCTAAAATACTTGTCAGTTGGAAGAATTAGCTGTCAGTTTTGCAGCAGCTATAAAAACCTGTAGGAAGTCCCATAAAAGAGGCTGATGTGCGTCCCCTGCAACCTGGGGCCGAAGCTCCAAAGTCCTTCCTTCTAGTATGGAAGGTCTGATCTAGGGAGATTTCTGCTGATCAATTTGTCTGCTTGATAACTCATTCATGAGAAAATGCAGGATCTTTAAGGATGACTGCATGCATCAGTGACAGCCATGCACTGACCTCCACATGGATGAATCTAGATAGAAGGCCTCTTCTGTCACCAGCAGCGTCAGCGAAGCCTGTAGCTCCAGACATCCTGACAAAAGGCAGCCCTGACCCAAGAATGCCTGCACTTCACAAAGTATCAGACCCATGGTTTTCTGTCTAGTCTTTTTCTTGCCTCTTTTTTGAATGTTTTACTTAAAATTCCATTTCTATGCCCAAAGTACTAAAAAAATACTCAATGGCTTGGGAGAGAATTATTCTTATGGCCACCGTTACATTACGATTCAAGACTCCACATGACACTGTCTAGGACCTAGCTTCAAGTGTCCTCCATGACTCCGAGGATGGCAGTGATACCTTATTGCACATGGGTTCTGAGGCTCCTTCCTAAGACTATGCATCCCCCAGGCCGGGGGCTGGGCACTGCACCTTCCGGAAGCCTGGCAGTACCACCTTGCCCTTGCGGTGTAGGTCGGCCTGCGAGCCTGTGTTGAGACGTTGCACCAGGAGCTTCTCGAAGAGCAGCGGGTGGTAGGCGCCCAGCGTGCAGGCTGCGTCGTAATATAGCTCGTGGTAGTGACAGAGCTCGGTCTGCCGCACGGACGGAATGTACTCGTACACATGTACCTCGTCGCACATGGACATCATGATGACGATGCCTGGTGGGGAGAAAGGAAGCCTGGTGAACAGGCAAAGAAGAGCCAACCACATCTAGGAAAGGTGGAGAAGGCAGCAGAGGGCCCTGGTCAGACACTTGACTTCCGGTTGTCTTTAAATTTGCAATGTCACAACTTCCAGCAGGGGCGTGTGTGGCTCGTGGGTGTGGGGCAGGCGGTCAAGGCACACTGCACACTATGGTGGGCGTTCTTGGGGTGCGGTTTCCTTGGCCAGTGCTTGGGCCAGGGCTGCTTCCGCACATCTCATGGCAGAGCACTGCACTTAGCCTAGGCTGCCAGCTGATTCCAGGTCTGTGTTCACATCACGGACACCACTGTGAATACCCTCAGCCATCTTATCCCAAGGTTCCATTTTTGGGGATTCAGAGAGAAAATATTTGGTAAGGAAACTGCATCTGCACTGAATATATACAAATATTTTTGTCCTTGTCATAATTCACTGAACTGCTACTTCTATGGCATTTACACTCTAGGCAGTATTTTAAGTCATCTAGAGATGATTTAAAGTATAGGGGAAGAGGAGAACTTCAGCCCTGAGTACCTTAAGATTTAAGGAACAGCAGAATCTGCCCCACAAGTCGAAAAGGCAGCCAGCTAGAGTACAGATACATGAAATGGTATGGAGACACTTTCAAAGGGAAGGAAAAAGCTACTTACAATTCATTGGTTCTATGTGAAAGGTAGACAGGGAAATTTGATACCAAAGAAGAAAAATGTTTAATACTTTAAACTGTTTTTCAATCAGTGTGGTTAATTCATTTGGCATATGCATACTGTGCATTTAATTTTCTCAAGGCTGTTATTTTTTTTTATTTTTATTTATTTTTATTTTTTTTTATTGAGTTTATTGCTACATTTAGGGATACAGTACAGTTACATTCATTGTTGGGATCATGTACCTTTACATGGCAAGTCTTGATTCTCATTTTTTTCCCCTTACCTCTGCCCTCCCTTCACCCCCTCCTCCCCTCCCCATCTACAAACACTTTATTTTCATCTTTTCATTCTCTCACATTTTTTTCTTTTCCCTTTTTGTTCTTCCCCTACGTATTCAAGGCTGTTATTAGCACATAAATTTGCATTTCAATTTAGACTCTTTCAAATAATAAAAACCGAAAGTCATTATTCAATGTGTTAAACCTATATATCAGTTTTTCTAAGAGTCTTTAGTAGCACTTAGGCAGTTTTCAGAAAGCTGAGGAATACATTTCTTTGGGCTTTGAAGTGGGAACTAGGTCTTCATCCACAACTGGAGGTACAGAACAGTGCTGTGTAGTTCAGTGTGGGGTAAACAACTGGGCATGCGGAGAGGCAGGATGGGTGTTGGGGAGAACAGAGCCATATGCTGTGGGACTCTCCTCAGTGACCTTTGATATTTCTAAGCTGGGCCCAGGGCAAATCATTGGGATTTCAATAAACTTTCTTTTTAAAAAATAATTAAGCTAAGCTAAAAATCTTACCACTGTATTTCGAGAAGGGGACAAGCTATGACCATTTTAGGGTCTCCTAAATGTCTTGTGGAGAAAAATTTCTGATTGTTATCCCTGGGCCCCCAGGAGGTACTGTGGAGGCCCCCGCATGGCCCTTGGTTTGAAGATGTGCCCCCTGCACACAGCTGCCCTAGTGGGTACACTTTGTTATGGCAAAGGATGCAGAGCATGATCAGCAAAGGAAAAGGTGCAGGGAGGCCTCCAGCAGAGGCCAGGCACAGGCTTCCCAACCCCTGTGCCACAGTTATAAGGGACACCCTCCAGTCCCCAGCTATGAGCTATGACAGCTGTGTGGACGCAGTGTGTGTCCTGAATCTGTGTGATGGAATCCTGGTCCCCAGTGGATGGTATTAGGAGAACTGGTTATGCTGTGGAGCCTCATGAATGGGACTGGCATCTTCATAAGTGGGATGCAGCTGATGTCTCTCCCTGTATGGTCCTGAGAAGGCAGTGTCCACCAGGCAGGAAGAGGCCCTACCCGGAACTGGCCTTGCTGCACCCTGATCTTGGACTTTCAACCTCCAGAACTGTCACAGAGCAGCTTCTGCTGTTTAATCACCCAAAGGGACTAAGAGAACAGCACCTCTGAAGCACCATCAGCCAGGGAGGCTCATCAGGGACACAGCACTCGGGATGCTTAGTGGGCACTGCTCACACACAGCATTTGCCTGGTGCATCCCCAAGTTCTTGGTTCTTGCAAGGAATGCGGCGTTCACTGTCAGCTGCTTGGCTGCATGAACAGCATGGGTGCAGGGTGCTCCTCTTATCAGTACAGGCAGAGACACCCCAAAACCAGGCTCCCAGCCACCAGCCCAAGGCCAGAAGGAGAAGCAGTTAAGCTTGCCATAGCGACCCTTCTCTGCACAGACACCAGGTGTGTCTACACGCAAAGTCCTGTGTGCTTTTACAGTCCCGACCCACCAGAATGACACAAGGACTTCACTTCTGGTCATGCTAAAAATGCTACTGACTTGTTTTCCCATTTCCTGAGACACAGGAAGAGTACAAATGGCCTAATACTGGGTAATTCAGTAAAAGACAACTTGTAAAAATCACTTAGGGGACTTTTATGTTAAATAATTTTGTTTACTAGCTATCCAAATTAATTACTTTCATTACTAATAAAAGTTTGACTGCTTTCAGTGTGGAATTGAACTTTTTGAAAAGCAGATGAATGTTAAGTGCCTTTTGATGCATTCTTCCAAGCCAATCAGGGGGCATGCTGCCAGCTAGCTGAGATCTTTAAACAGAATTCAACTGTTAATGTTTCATATGTGGCCAAGTTTTACAGATGAATCCATACGAGGGATTCATCTGGAGATAAATAGCATTACTATTTTCCAGGCAATTACAATCCAGGAAGCATTCACTTGCCAAATTATATGTTTTTAAATATTGTATAATGCAACATAATTATCAAACTAATTAAAAGCATTTCAACTTGTCTTAATAAAATGTCATGTTACATGATTCAGCATAGTTAGCAGATGGACGCTTATTTATTTGATTTAAAACCTGGATAAGAATCACACTTAAACCCTTGTTCAGATATCACAGATTGTGAATGCACAAGGTTCTCTGTAAACCCTTACTTGCATGTACAGATGTATGTGTTGGGTCATTCGAGTCTGGCATAGTTTAGTCACTTTGCCTTGAGCTCAGTTAGGATTTCACCACAATAAGGTTGCTTTTCACCTGGCAGAATATTTAATGTAACATCCAAACTCATTAAGAATAACAGAATTTTCTCCTTGATGAAAATACCCTTTCACAAAATAGCAAAATGAATTATGGAGACGAAGCAGAATGTATTTCATGCAACAGGGGCAAATAGTTGATTACATCAATTCTAATATGCACAAGCATAATTCATATGTGAAGTTAATTAGGAGTTTCTGAGAATGTCTAGTAGAGTATTGCTGAATACGCTTCTGAAGTAGTAAGGGTCAAAGGCTGAACGTGTGCGGCTAATGTGTATCTCACAGCTGTCCTGCGATTTCTCCACAAATGTGATACCAGCCCAAGGCCAGAAGGGTTAAGCCCTCAAGAGCTCCACAAGACTTCTTAAAGAGAATAAGTGACTTTCAAAGTGGTATTTTCAGAAAACATCTATAATTAAAAGATGGATTGGAAATTTAACCTTGATATAATACAATAATAACTTAAGAAGCATCTACCACATTAAAGAAAAGAACATAATACTAAGGGCTACTCTCAACTCATTTATATTGTATTATTCGGTTCATTATTTAAAGAGAAATACAAAAAGCTATGGCAAATTTTACAAAATCACAAATAAATAAGGATGTTCAGTGGCTTATTATTTTGTGTTGATCTGAGTTTGGATGATATATTAGAAAAATTAGATCGCGAAATACATATGATAACTTATTTTTAAACATATTACTATTGTGGATATATGAAATAGACTGAAATTACAGCATCGGCTTCTGTGAATTTCAGAAACATTACTTATACCACCAGAAGAGGCTGCCTTTGAAAAGAGAGGGTGGGTGTTGGCAGTTTCTATAATAAAAATCTGGCAACCACACCCTGCACCCAAGCCAGCATGGATGAGGATGCTGGACGTGACTCCTGGCTGCAGGGCCCGCCCGTCTGATGGAGCCGGGGCCTGCCAGATCTTCCCAGACACCTTCCACACGCAGGTGGCAAGCAGTCTGCCAGGCTTCCTGACCATGGGCGAGCTAACTTGCCGTCCGTAAGATATGTAACATCAGGAGGGCAAAACAGAAGCTGTCGGGTTCCAAGTAAATCATTTCTTAGTCTGCCTGCAGCAGAATCAAAATGACTTCACTGCACCAAACAGCAAGACAAAACCTCTAAGTGTCCAAATGGGGACTCAAGGGAGTCAGATTCCTCACATGTGAGCACAGTTCCAGAAGGGCTGAGGGCAAGGAGACGAAAACCCTGCTCCAAAAGAAAACAGTCTTTGTAGATCTTCTAAATTACCTTGTTGCCTCTTTTTAATTTTAAAACTACATGTGTCTTGTATAGGTCTGCATACCCCTTTCCTGCCTCTCTGGATACACAACGGTACTCGTAAGAAAGCTCCAATGTGTTCCCTAGCCTATCTCTTTCTGCAAGCCCTAAAGACAGATGCAGCTCTGATTTGAAATATACTGGTTAATCCCTGAGAAAGGCCCCTGCCCCCACTGTCTACAGTCATCAGAAGGTTACACCCTTTGTCTGACACTAGACCTGCTAGGAATTTATCCTGAGGAAATAGTTTAAAGGGAAGAAAAAATTTTATGTCACAAAAAAAGAAACTTAGAGTATGCATTAGTACATGAACCTAGTAATGGCTCAGCAACACAAGTATCTGATGAGATTGAACATTTTGAAACAACCAAACTCCTGGACAACTAAGGGGAGGCTTAAAAGAAGATACACCTATTTAATGTAATCATTTGGCCTCTGTAATATCAAAGAAATCCAAAGTCTTTTTCACCTTGGTTATAGGGAATCAGTAGA